GCAAAGCTCCAGTGCCTTCCAAGGAAGAGCGTTCCAGACGGCCGCAGAAGCGCATCTGAAAGCGCGCGATGCGGTGATCCGTCTTTGTTGGATGGTTAGCAGCCAAAAGCCGCTGCGCGTGGTGGTTTATGTTCCTTGACGAGACGAGCAAGGTGCCCGTGGTCCCTTTGTGGCAAGGACATCTGTGCGTGTGCACCAAGAGTGCGACCACACATCGACTCTCTGCCGTGCAGTGGCACCTTAAAGACTCCGTGGCGGTATTCACAAGAGCAGTCGGGTGATCGCGCGTACATGCGCGACATCTCACAATCGAAATGTTTAACCTTAGGGGGCGTCTAAAACCTAACAGATATATATAGTACAATGTTTACTTAGGGAGGGGTTGTTAAAATTTTAGGTGATGAATCTCAATCAACGGGCGCTCTACGTGGTTAAATAGAAGGGGCAATTCATCGCTCTACGTGCACAGATGAATAGACCGAGCGCTCGTGCGCGGGTTGATTTACGCGTGGAGCAGCTTATTTGGAGATAGAGACGGGGGGTGGTGGTGGTGGTGGGGCGGGAGGTCACAGAGCGAACCTCGTTTCAAGACCGCCAATAAACAAAGTGCAAACAAACACCACGAAACGGGGCGACGATAAGTGTTCTGCATGGCGACCCGACTCCCTGTGCCCGTGGGTGGCCAGCAGAGTCAACTAGAGCGCCCACCGCCCCATCAGTCAAGGCGGTGGTGGTGGTGGTGGCGGTGGTGGTGGAGGTTGTGGTGGCGGTGGTGGTGGTTGGTGGAGGTGGTGGAGGAGGTGGTGGTGGAGGTGGTGGTAGTGGTGGAAGAGGTGGTGGTGGTGGTGACGGTGGTGGTGGTGGTGGCGGTGGTGCAGGTGGTGGCGGCGGTGGTGGTGGTGGCGGTGGTGGAGGTGGTGGTGGTGGAGGCGGTGGTGGTGGAGGAGGTGGTGGTGGTTGGTGGAGGTGGTGGAGGTGGTGGTGGCGGTGGTGCAGGTGGTGGTGGCGGTGGTGGTGGTCGTGGTGGTGGTGGTGGTTGGTGGAGGTGGTGGAGGTGGTGGTGGTGGTAGTGGTGGTAGTTGAGGGTTAAAAGCGGTGGGGGGGGAGAGACACTGCCATGCAGAGCAGGTAGGGGTAGCGGTGAGCGGCGCTGCGCTACGAACCCGGCGACCCGAGTTCAGAATCAGGATATGTATTTTATACCGGCCAACACCAGGTGAAGATCATATCTGAACCGGTCCTGGGCCTCCTCTAGGTCGACTCGGCCGCAAATGAGTACCCCGGTGCGGTGTGTATACATCGCTGCGATCCTAGTTCGATTCCCGCTCATGGCCAGTAACGGTGGATAACATCTGAACCCTGGGTTCACATCGACACTAGGGGAGACAAAGGCGGCCGGGCGCTGTGTTGGCCACCCACCCTCTCTCGTTTGCCGTGCCGGCCTTCATAGGTGCTCGCTAACAGCACTTGCCCCGCCAGTCTGTCACGGTTATACGGTGGATCTTTGTCTGTGTACTTGTGTACGGCTGTTGTAGGTGCAGAGCAGCAATGACCTTTTCAAATTCAAGTGATCCAACCAAGATAACCGCGCGAGAAGCAGCGGAGTGCATCACCGCTGCGATGTCTCCTTTGTTTTTACGGGTCGGGCATTGCGTCGTTTGTTATTGGCTGCACGGTCTGTTCTGTGTGGAGGGCGAGGTGGGGGATAGAGACGCTGGCTTGGGGGGAAAAGGGGCACTCGTTTGACATAGGTCACGGCGTGCGTGGCGTGCGGATAGCTGTAGGGAGAGGCAGTGCATCAAAGAGGTTGTTGATGGTATTTTTTTTAGTTTTACCACGGGCGCAAGAATAAACGAAAAAAACAACCAAACGGCCAGCGACAAACAGCGGCCGTGGGTAGGCTTCATCGGTAAGGGTTCGTACGCTTGTTGGATCGAGCAAGGTTATTGTTGTTGTCTGTTGTTGTAAGAGCTTGTAAGTGAATGGTGAGAGAGATGATGATGATGATGGGAGTGGAATTCCAAAGTGCAGCGGTGGGAGGGAAGAAAGGGCTTCAGTGTGGTGCTTAAGAGCTCTCCCCTCTGTTTACATCCACGCATGTTGAACTTATTTTTCACCGTACGTAGCCAACCGTGCTAATCGGAGGTGCGAGTGAAGGACAAGAAACTGCACGCGCAAATCGGTTCTAAACAAATGAGTTTCCAGTCGAGATATAAAAGTGCGCAGCTCCAGGTGGCTTCCTAACAATCGAAAGGGAGGAATGTTCCAGACGGCCGCAGACGCGCATCTGAAAGCGCCGCGCGATGCGGCGACCACCACCTTTGTTCGACGGATCGCAGCCAAAAGCTGCTACTGCTGCTACTGCTGCTGCTACTGCTGTTGCTGCTGCTGCTGCTACTGCTGCTGCTACTGCTGCTGCTGCTGCAGCTGCTACTGCTGCTACTGCTGCTGCTGCTGCTGCTACTGCTGCTGCTACTGCTGCTGCTACTGCTGCTACTACTGCTGCTACTGCTGCTACTGCTGCTGCTGCTACTGCTGCTGCTGCTACTGCTGCTGCTACTGCTGCTGCTGCTACTGCTGCTACTGCTGCTGCTACTGCTGCTGCTACTGCTGCTACTGCTGCTGCTACTGCTGCTGCTACTGCTGCTGCTACTGCTGCTGCTACTGCTGCTACTGCTGCTGCTACTGCTGCTGCTGCGAGGATGAGTGGAGTTGGCGTGATGATGCTTTATGCTCCTTGACGAGATCACTCCGCCCGCAAGAATATCGATGCATTAATTTATTTTGAGATTCATCTTCTTGGTTCTTTCGGTAAAGTCACGTAGAAGGGAAATAATAAAATAATAAAAATAAAACATAATAAAATAATTCTCACGACGTTTCGGCCACAACGCAAGCAGCCGTCCTCAGGTGAAGAACATTCAGACGCTGTCTTCCCGACAGACCTGTTCTTCACCTAAGGACGGCTGCTTGCGTTGTGGCCGAAGCGTCGTGAGAATTATTTTATTATGTTTTATTTGTATTATTTTATTATTTCCCTTCTACGTGACTTTACCGAAAGAACCAAGAAGATGAATCCCTGCAGTCACGAAAGCTTTAAATCGAAATTATTGAGAGATATTTGACCGAATTTAAATGGCTTTTGCATTGCGAGGACGCCTATGCATAGACGCACGTCGCTTAGCTCGCCGAAGATGCGTAAGGATACGGACACACGGGCATGCACTCGTGTAGCCGAGCGTACACTCACAGCGCGCGTTGTTACGTGCACATAATTACTCTACTGTGTGTCTGTGTATATATGTAGTGTATAGATATCGTGTATATATAGTGTATATCGCACATATATAAAGCTACCACACACACAGCCCTATACAGTTGAATATGAGCGATTACATTTGTCTATTCTGTATAGTATATTTTACACATATATGTATAAAACACGCAAAAAATCGCCACCTTTTAGTCGTTGACAATGCAGCTCTAACAGGGAATACACACACAGCAGGCTAAAGGTTATGGACAACGACCCATCTGAACTCACCTTCTTCGGGGCCATTTGCCTGAAACGTTGGCCTGCGACAGTACACAGACACAAGCTGCATGCCCGGCTCTGTTACCCACGTGTCGCTAAAGGCGGCGTCGATGCTCGATGGCGCTATCAAAGCAGACGAGACTCACACGACTCGAGACAAAGACCCCCACCCCACCCCCACGCGTCTCCTACACACCTCCCGTGTGGGGTTAAAGTCGGTGCGCTTCTTGACCCGAGGTACAAGCACGCACCCCCTGTAGGGGTTGCGAGATACGGGCAGATTTTTTTTTTTTAGAAAGTCAATTCATCGAAAGAGATAATTTAGCGTGGGCACGTGAGTTGTTACAATTTTGTTTCATCAACATTTTTACTTTTAAAATGTACGAATGAGAACTAAATGGGGTTGCAGGGCTGCAGTAAAGGGTTAAGAACCACTGGGTTAAAGGGCACAGAGCGGGCTAAACGAGCGATGTTTCTGGGGGGGGGGGGAGGGAGCGGTGACTGATGTATTGCGGCCACAGTACTCTGTGAGATTGCCTGGTGGCAGCGTGAAATCTGGCTGTCGCCTGATGAAGCTGGTCGTAATCACTGGCGAAACGTCGTACTCGGATTGTAAATGTTGTGGCTTGGCTCTCCAACACACAACCGTTGTGCTGTACTAGTGACGAATTGGCCACGTTCTGTTTGCGTGACAACCCTTACTAGTTGGCTGTGTCGGGTGGTGGCAGGTTTAACGACACATTTATATATTTACGTGATCTAACCCACAAAAAAAACCTCTATTACACTGTAACTATTGTCCATAATAGAAGTTTGTTTTGGGTTCGATCGCGTAAATGTGTCGTTAAACCCCGCCACCACCCGACACAGCCAATTAGTAAGCATTTGTCACATCCGCTTAGCTCGTTAACCACATCCGCTTACGTAGTGTGCGAAACAAGTTCAACATACAGTGACATACGTAAGCATATTTATACATATTATCTTTAATCTATCAACCATCTCTAGTGGTAACGACAACCTCTTCTTGGTTCTTTCGGTAAAGTCACGTAGAAGGGAAGTAATAAAATAATACAAATAAAACATAATAAAATAATTCTCACGACGTTTCGGCCACAACGCAAGCAGCCGTCCTCAGGTGAAGAAACAGGTCCGTCGAGAAGACAGCGGACCTGTTTCTTCACCTGAGGACGGCTGCTTGTGAGAATTATTATTATTTTATTTTTATTATTTTATTATTTCCCTTCTACGTGATTTTACCGAAAGAACCAAGAAGATGAATCCCTGCAGTCACGAAAGTTTCAAATCGAAATGGTAACGACAAGTTGACCAGCACGTGTCTTGGTCCACCGTTCGGTGGGGGGGGTTGGGATTTGGGGGGGGGCGCGGGGGGCTTGGGGGGGAGGCCGCGAGGGGGAGGGGGGTGGGGGTGGTGGTGGGTGCGCGAGTCGCCGCGTGAACTGACCCGGACGCGCGCCTCGGTGAGGTTGGTCCACACCGCGATCTCCTCCCGCGTGGACATGTCCGGGTAGCGGTTGCGCTGGAAGGTCGCCTCCAGCTCCTGCAGCTGCTGCGACGTGAAGTGCGTCCGCTGCCGCCGCTGCCGCTTCTTCTTGGACGGATCCTCGCCCCCCGCCTCGTCCGCCTTGCCCGCCTGCGCCTTCTCCGTCTCTGCCGAGAGACGGACGGGACGGGGTCACGAGACGCGGCGAGTCGCAAGCGAGCATTGAGTTGACCCCCAGCCGCTCTGGAACGCAGAGTCGCGTCGATCGCTTTGGAAATGACGACGCGGTGTCAGGCCTGTTGCGGAACTGGCTCGGGCTCCAAGGATCGATGAATCAAATCGATCGGTGTGCGTGCGTTACGCGGAGAGTCGCGTGCAGCCAGTTGCCCGGTTATAGTTTGCAAGCTAGATCCGCGTTGCAAGAACAACAACAACAACAATGCGTACGGAGGGAACAGGTAACGCCGGAGACAGAAAGCGTCAGATGTGCGGGCAACACAAGTGCTTAAAATAAAAACACTTAAATAATATAAACACTTAATAATATAAACAGGAATGCGGCAGATAACTGGAAAGTAAAACTACAACTGTAAACTAAACTGTTTTAGTATTTTACCAGGTAAGGCCCACTGAGCTTTATAGCTCTTTTTCAGAAGCTACCTGGCCACAAATTATAGTTCAACGAAGTGGCTTAGCATCACGTGCAAATGTATAGCAGCCAAATACTTGAAACGCGCGATGTTGATTCCAAATATACAGCAGCAGGCGTCAGGGTCGAGATCGAACCTCCGAACCGCCTGCATACCAGGCAAGGTAGTTAACATCTCCTAGCCACCGTGATGATGATGAGACAGAGATGCAAGCTCCAAATGCACATCAAGCGTCAGGGTCGAGATCGAACCCACGACCTCGTGCGTACCAGGCGAGGTAGTTAACATCTGCTAGCCACCGTGATGATGATGAGTGATTAAAGCAAACTCCAAATGCACAGCAGGCGTCAGGGTCGAGATCGAACCCACGACCTCCTGTGTACCAGGCGAGGTAGTTAACATCTGCTAGCCACCGTGATGATGATGAGTGATTAAAGCAAACTCCAAATGCACAGCAGGTGTCAGGGTCGAGATCGAACCCACGACCTCCTGTGTACCAGGCGAGGTAGTTAGCATCTGCTAGCCACCATGATGATGATGATGAGTGATTAAAGCAAACTCCAGCAGACTGATCGCCGTGGCGAACCGCCGCTCATCGACGGTTCCACCTCGGCTGCTCCTGCCCAGCGGCTTGGTGCAGGCTCTTGCAGACGAGTTAACATAATGATATATAACATAGCTATATATACAAAAAATACACGTGCTTCAAAAACATGTTAACACTTACATGGGACTATCGTTTTTATTGTAAAAAAGAACGGATAATGCACTGTAACGTGATAACAAATTTACGTGAATAGCTTAAAAAATCTTCACTTGTTCACCATCATTGTCAACACGTGGCCTGGAATCTTCTCCAGGTGGTCTCCAGAGGCCGGAGCCACATGTCTCGTGGTGTTGTTGCAAATTCTCAGAAGCGTTAACATTTGTTTTGAAGCACCCTGTTAATCGTTGCGATACAAGGCAACGATTCACCCTTATAGCGCCTGTACACGCGTAGACACAGACATCGATTCAATAGCACCTGTACACGCGTAGACACAGACATCGATTCAATAGCACCTGTATACGTGTAGACACAGACATCGATTCAATAGCACCTGTACACGCGTTGACACAGACATCGATTCAATAGCACCTGTATACGTGTAGACACAGACAACGATTCAATAGCACCTGTATACGCGTAGACACAGACATCGATTCAATAGCACCTGTACACGTGTAGACACAGACATCGATTCAATAGCACCTGTACACGCGTAGACACAGACAACGATTCAATAGCACCTGTACACGTGTAGACACAGACATCGATTCAATAGCACCTGTACACGTGTAGACACAGACATCGATTCAATAGCACCTGTACACGCGTAGACACAGACAACGACGCCCGACCCTTCACCAATGTAGCCATAACAGACTTTTGGGGCACTGACACACATACACGTAGTACAGAGACACAAAAAAGACCAAGATCCCCTGATAGCCTGAACAGACTGTTGGGGCAAGTGCTGTTAGCGAGCACCTATGAAAACCGGAACGGTACACGAGGGGGTGGGTTGCCAGCAACCACGCCCGACCGCCTTTGTCTCCCCAGTGTCGATGTTTACACATTGCACCAGGTATTCATTTGAGGCTGAGGCGACCTAGGGGAGGCCCGGGACCGGTTCAGATAATCGTCACTGGTGTTGGCCGTGAGCGGGATACGAACCCGGGTCGCCGGGTTAATAGCGCAGCGTAGCGCTAACCGCTACACTACCGCACGCACACACATATATATACGTACACAGCTATATACTTAGTTACACGTGCACATCCATACAAAGACAAAGGTCCCACGTGTAGACTTTAACAGCTGGGACAAGTGCTGTTAGCGCTCGTCAATTCGGGTCTGCACGAAGCGATGCTGTGGCCTGACACTCCACCCGGCCGTCTTTGTATGCCCAAGTGCTGCCGATGTCTATTGTTTTCGTTTAAACACAGCACCAGATTTTACTGGCCGCTAATTGTGAGCCGTGATCGGGAATCGAACCCAGCTCGCCGGGTTCCTAGTGCAATGCGCTAACCACGCACATATACACACATATATATATACAATACATGTTTTATTTTTCTTCTTGGTTCTTTCGGTAAAGTCACGTAGAAGGGAAGTAATAAAATAATAAAAACAAAACATAATAAAATAATACTTTATTTTATATTATAATGTTTTATTTTTATTATTTTATTTTTTCCCTTCTACGTGACTTTACCGAAAGAACCAAGAAGATGAATCCCTGCAGTCAAGAAAGCGTTAAATCGAAACGTTTTATTTTGTTTAAACTTTACCAGGTAAGGCCCACTGAGCTATGTAGCTCTTTTCCAGAAGCGACGTGGCTATCACAAATGATAGCTCAACCAAGTGGCTTATCACGTGGCCATGTATAGCTGCCAAATACTCTAAACGCGCGTTCATTCTATATTTGGAGGTAAAACCCGGAGGAGCCGGAGAAAAATTCCACGCGACCACGGGGAGAATATGCGTCAGAGTCGGGATCGAACCCACGACCTCCTGTATACCGGGCGAGGTAGTTAACATCTCGCCACACGTACACACAGACGTGCACCCATACACCGAGCGCACATAATTGAATGTACATTACATTAACTGCCGGCTCAATAATTATACACACGGTGTGAGAAAATTACATCAATTAAGGGCAATGCAATTTACCGTCGTAAAATGATACACATTCATTATACATCGTTCGTCTATTGAAGGCAATGATTTAATCTATCATTTTGTTGTATAAACCCCCATTTAGCATTACAGTATTACGATTATACTTACACTATTATATATAAAAACCCATGACCTATATAGTCGTAAGCTCTGTGATTGACGGGTCGTCATTAGGACGTTTAAATATCTCGCAGGGGCAATTTACCCGCGTCGGCGCAATGCTATTAATCAATTCACGTGTGCCGCCTTTGAGTTGTTTCTCTAACGAGATGTCAGTCATATTCTCCAGGGACTGAAGAGGTTCCGGGTACGTGGAGCGAAACGTCGGACATCACGCGTAAGCAACACGGGGAACAACTCTGCGAGAGATGCACAGCATTGGGTCCGTAGACCTCCACATGCACATGTACCCGTCGGTGTGGTACAGCGTTTACAATGTGATATCCCCCGTGTAGCCGTAACAGACTTGTGGGGCAAGCGCTGAACGGGACACGAGAGGGGTGGATGGCCAGCACCAGAGAGGCCGTTCTCTCCCGAGTGGCGATGTACTGTGTACATGTCGAGCAGGTAGTCAATTGAAGCTGAGTCGGTCAAGGGGGGGGGGGGGGGGGGGCTCAGGACCGGTTTTGATAATCACTGCCGTTGAACGTGAGCGGGAATCGAACTCGGCTCGGCCGGGTTCGTGGGAGCAGTGCGCTATCCACTGGGCAACTCCACCACCCGCTTCCCCCAGAACATATAATGTAAAAAACGCGACTCACCTTACTGCCCGGGTGTGGTAATCGTTACCATTACATTATATGGAGTGATAAAACAGAAACCCATTCTGCGCACGAGTAGAGACCGCGCACCGCACTTGTAAACTAAACGAATTAATGCGTTTTTATTTTATTTTAATGCATGGCCCACTGAGCTACAAAGCTCGTTTTCAGAAGCGACCTCACCGCGAATGAAAGCTCAACGAAGTGGCTTTCATCACGCGGACATTTAGAGCAGCCAAAGACTCCAAACGGCGCGTTTATTCTAAATGTGGAGGTTCCCGGCGAAAAACTCACGCGACCACGGAGAGAGAGAGAGAGACGCAAACCCCACGACCTCCTGTATACCAGGCGAGGGCGTTAACATCTCGCTAGCACAGAGCAATAGAGGAGAGCAATAGCCCTGAACGATTTAACACCCCCACCCCCCGCCTTCCCACCCCCCTGCCCGCGTCCTGACAGCGGTTATTGATAACCGCCCGTCCGAAAGCGAACTCCGAGGAGTCGCGTTATGACCGCCGATCTGTAGCGAAATCAAAAGGGGAAATCGGAGATGTTAAAACTGTAAGAGAGAAAGAGAGAGAGAGCACCCCCCCCTCCCTCCCGTAGCGCGCTCTTCCCAGGGCGCTCGCTGCTGGAGTCGTTTAGCGGTGATTGATGCGCTGGGCCGTAAATCGAGTCCCGAGCGGAGGTCCCCGCGTGGACGCGCAACAGCGGGAGGGGAATCTCGCCCAGCTGGTCGCTCCGATCACCGATCAATGACGACCACCCTCCCTCCCACCCCCACACATGGGAGGGTGGTCGTCATTGATAACGAAATGCAAAAGTTAACCTTGGGGCGTATTTACACTCGAACTGCGTCTTTGCACACAACGCACGCGCGCGCGCGCAATTCGCGTTGGGCGTGATGGGGGCGGTGTTGGCGTGCCTCTGCCACGACCCGAGTTCGATGTTGCCGCTCACGGCCACCTCCGATTAGCACGGTTGGCTACGTACGGTGCGAAAGAAGTTCAACATACATGCGGACATAC